GGGGGAGAGGGAGGAGAAGGACGAACAGATGGAACAGAGGAAGGGAGAGGAGGGGGAGGGGGAGAAGGGGTAGCAAGGGGAGGAGAGGGTGAAAGAGGATGATGCATGGACCAACGAAGCATTCGACGAAACCATTGTGTAAGTCTCGTCACATGTGTAGGCTGTCGACGCTAGCGAGCACGAATGTAACAGGTCCATCCTCGAGCCAGTGTTAATGGAGCATGGCCACGGAAAAGCAAACGGCGGGCCAGTAAGGCTGCTGACGTTTTAAAATCAGGCCAATTGTCACAAATCTGCTTAAACCGCGTAAGCTGGCCAGTGAACACTCCTGCAGGCTGATGAGATGGAATGTTTGACGTTGCACTAGGGTATCGTATAACACGGAAACCCCATGCAACAGTCTCATCATATACACTCAATCGAAGGGATCCATCCGTGCGTGTCTGCAACTTTGCACCTAAAAAAGTGCAAGAACCATCAGGATTTGTTGTCTCCTTCCATTCCAGACCATAAAAGGCTGGCGATGGCGGGAGGCAACCGAAAGTGAGGACATCATCAATGAAACGATAAGTGAAAGCATATTGTCGAGCAGCAGAAGCATCCACACATTGCAGGTTGTCCACGTACTGCGCCTCATCCCAATAAAGTGTAAGATTAGCAATCTTAGGACCAGCATTTGTCGCCATAGGGATACCGACGTCTTGATGACACACAAGGCCATCCGCTGTATATATATATGTGCTAGTAACAATAAAACGAAGATGTTGAAGAATGTCTGACACAGAGAGAGTGTCAGGTCCCATATCGGTTGTCCACTCCCCTGCACGCGGTCCACGGACCACCATACAAAGAGCAATATTGGATGAACGTGTCCGTGTTTGCTGCTATGCCTGTGAAAGAGCGTAGGCATGTGCCTCATCAACGGCGTTAGCAACATTGTTAGGAATACGTTCATGAGGAAGATTAGTATACATGGTAGTAAAATCGACCGTATGAGGGACCAGACCTCGAAGAGATGCTTTATTCTTTTTTAGGTCAAGCATGACCTCGTCACTGCTCTGAACAATCCAACATCGTCGAATGCCTTCGTGTTAAAAAAGCTGATTATCTTTTTCTCGAAGAGTGCGGATGACGCCTTGAAGTGCCGCACTCAAACGAGATGAAGTTGCTGTATATATATATATATACATATATATATATAAATATATGTATATATGTATATATATATATATATATATGTATATGAAACGGTTTTCAGCTTTTAGCAGTAGCGGATGCACTACCCACGGTTCGATCCCTAGACCTCACCCTACCCATGTACAATATTTGTGTAGACCCTAAGAATTGAACCTGTGACCTGTGTATTCGTAGGCAGTTGGTAGACCTGTCGCAGGTCCATAAACAAGAGGGGTTCAATCCGTAGGTCTATAGCGTAGGAGTCTTAGGGAGTTCTGGAAGCTTAGCTGTAGACCTTCTAGAAGGTAGGCAAGTGAGCAAGTGGTCAAGTGGTGAGGCAAGTGGTGGACTAAACCGCAGTGCAACAACAGTGCAACGGCGGTAGGATAGTGGTGAGTCCACAGTCAGTCAACGGAAGGTCCCGTTAGTCCCAGTCCGGTCCATTAAGTACCAAAGGGGGACTGTAAGCACCAAGGGCCGATGGCAAAGGGCAGACCAACGAGTTTCTGAAGTATAAATCAAGAGGCAGCGCCCAGCCATTCATTYATTCCTGCGTGAGCCATGCGGAAGCGCTGCCACCTCGACTTGTGCAAGGAGGTCTGCATATGAGCCCGGAGGACGCAGTGGGCTAGAGAGAGGGAGTTAGCATAGCGATAGGGTAGATGTAGCGACAACTGCCATAGCTGTAGTTAGTAGTGAGTGTGTGTGTGTGTTCGAGTGTTAGAGTGATTCGTGTGGGATATCTTGGGTGATCCAGTGCATGTGAACCGTGAGATGTTTGGGCGCTGAAGTCGCCATAGCCAATTGAGAGTTAACTCGTATCTGAAAGCCATATCTCTGAGTTTTGAGTGGGCGCATGTCGCCAGTATGCTGCGTTGCTGTTTACATGCATGAAAAGTGTGTTTGAAAACGAGTCTGATTGCATTGGTATCGGAGCTGGTACCCGCTACTCCATGCGCAAC